GCGAAGAATCATTGGGGACAGCGGTGGTATTCTAGATAGTGGTGCTCAATAGTACTGGTAGTTGATTTTCAAAGCATAGCTTGAAATATTACAAAATAAAAAACAGAATCTTTTCCCTTGGGTTTAATCAATCTTTATTCTGCATTTCAATTCGGTCGTTTTGTTGATGGGTCTTCGAGTAAGTCTACGATTGTAGTCAAATCAAAACATCAAGGCGATTATTGCAAAACATATCAAATAAATATAAGGGTTGAGGGTGGCCAACGAACAATGTGGACTGACAACATGACACGGACTGACAACATGACACGGACTGACAACATAAAGACATGGGCTGGCCTAAGTAGGACAGCGTGTATGACACGGACTGACAACATGACACGGACTGACAACATAAAGACATGGGCTGGCCTAAGTATGACAGCGTGTATGACACGTCTTTGTAAGACAGCGTGTATGACACGGACTGACAACTTAGAGACACGGACTGACAACATAAGGACATGGACTGGCCTAAGTATGACAGCATGTATGACACGTCTTTGTAAGACAGCGTGTATGACACGTCTTTGTAAGACAGCGTGTATGACACGTCTTTGTAAGACAGCGTGTATGACACGTCTTTGTAAGACAGCGTGTATGACACGTCTTTGTAAGACAGCGTGTATGACACGTCTTTGTAAGACAGCGTGAATGACACGGACTGACAACATGACACGGACTGACAACATAAAGACACGGGCTGACAACATAAAGACACGGGCTGACAACATAGAGACACGGACTGACAACATAAAGACACGGGCTGGCCTAAGTATGACAGAGTGTATGACACGGACTGACAACATGACACGGACTGACAACATAAAGAAACGGGCTGGCCTAAGTATGACAGAGTGTATGACACGGGCTGACAACATAAAGACACGGGCTGGCCTAAGTATGACAGAGTGTATGACACGGACTGACAACATGACACGGACTGACAACATAAAGACACGGGCTGACAACATAAAGACATGGACCGGCCTAAGTATGACAGAGTGTATGACACGGACTGACAACATAAAGACATGGACCGGCCTAAGTATGACAGAGTGTATGACACGGACTGACAACATAAAGACATGGACCGGCCTAAGTATGACAGAGTGTATGACACGGACTGACAACATAAAGACATGGACCGGCCTAAGTATGACAGCGTGTATGACACGGACTGACAACATAAAGACATGGACCGGCCTAAGTATGAAAGAGTGTATGATGGCAGCCAGCGACCGTGAGCGATGGCAGGCCATTACACGTCAACCTCTAGGATGATACCTCCGGCGACCCATGTGTAAATTTAAATGAAATGAACCTCACTTACCTGGTCGCGGGTTCCTTGGGTTACAAGCCATGTCATCAGCAACCATCAGAATGATTTGACTGAAAGAAAAAGATGTAAATAGTTTATTGTGTTTGGGTGTGTAAAGAAACCACCATGAGCAACTTGCCGGGGCCAGAATCACCACTTGGAACTACCTGGAATATAGAAGAGAATCAATGGAAATAAGAAGCTTTTCAATCACATTCCAAGTGATAAACGATGCAACTGTAATGCTGTGATAGAGAGCTTTTTCATGAGGACCTCTGTGACGTAAATTTTATAATTTTTGCATGATCAGTCACTCTTTCTGCAAGAACCATACAGCCTCCCCTGTCTCCCCCACCCCCTTTTTCCAACCAATCTCAACAGAATGTTCACTGCACCCTTATTTTACATTTTTCTACTAAATTGAGGGTGCGGTAGCGGAGCGGTTAGTGCGCTCGTCTCTGAAGCGGAAAGACCGGGTTCCAGCCATGGTTCGGACACAGATTTTTTTCGCCCCCTCCTGCCCACCCAGCAGTAATGGGTACCTGACTTCGAGTTGGGGAAGTAAAGGTGGCGTGGAAAGGAACTGGCCACCCTACCACAATATGCCCAAGGCCCAGGAAGTTGTCTCACTAACAAGGCAATCCCCAAAGTCCGAATCGGATGTGGGAACAATTTTACTTTACTATTAAATTTACAACTAAATAATGCTCTGTCCATGCCGACAGTAGTAACTAAACCACACAACACATACTCCCCACCTGTCTGGAATGCCGAGTCTTTTCACGCTGCGGTAGATGGACAGCACGTTGGCCACATGGCGGTAGTTGAACCAGAACCGCGACGTGTCCACCAGCACGGCCCAGTTGTTCGTGTGGCCGCTCTTGAAAAAGTCGCCCAGATTTTCCTGTGAGGTGACAATACAAAAGTGAAAAAGCCAGTGACTTTCCTTTAAAAAAACCCGCCAAAGTGTGAAGAGACAGACATTATAGTCGAACCTGCTCTAATGGACATAATTTGTAAAGACAATCACTTATTGTACAAACTATTACCGGTAAATCTTTACTTTCACTCCCGCACACAGATGCATTGCTTCGGGAGTCAAACTACAGTACTGTTTGCTGCAGATCACACATGATAAAGCCACCAAAACTGTCGCAAAACAATTATTTCCAAGAAAATTTCAAACCAAACTGTAAAATATCAAATTATGGGTTAAAACAGGGGGGCATGCCCCCTGTAACCCCCCAGATTTTTTATAGCCCAGGGGGAAAATCAAATTTTTCGAAAACTATTAATTTGCGACGGATATAAAGTGGATTCGTATTCATCGCATCAATATTTAGTAGAAAATGGACAACTGGTAGTTACGTGTGAGATGGGAGGGAAAGTAGCCTAAAAAAAGACCCTGTCACCTACCATCTCCCCTTGCAGTTTAAAAGAAAAGCATAGTGTGTAAGATAACTTCATCTACCCGAGGAAGACGTTCATTTATTTTCCCCTCGATGATATGTGGCTGTCACAGACTTAGACACTTATAATTTTGACTGAATATCTGCAGTGTGGGGAAGGCACTTTTATCAATCAGTATCACTGACACTTTACTGACACTGACACTTACTTTAGTAAGTAAAGACCAGGTTAGTATACCATGTTGCTTGGTGATCTTGTACTTCCGTTTGTTTAAGTCCACCACCCATTTGTTTACATCCAGAGAAGAAATCCGGAAGTCTTGATGACCAAATAGGCAACCCAAAGAACAGAGATGCAACCTAACTGCAAAACATCAAACTATGGTAAAATTCAGGGGGGCATGCCCTCCTGAACCCCCTCCCCTAAATACTTTTATTAGGTTCCCGGAAACCTCTCTACTCTTGGGGCACAAACGGGCGAATGAATAATAATTGAGGGTGGGAACTGCCAAAAAAACGCCATTCTTTGCTTGAATTTGATTTTCTGGCTTTAGCGTTTCCTTCCAGTTTCATGCTTAGTTCACTCCTCAACGATTACCATTCAGGGTCTCTGGCGTTCAGCTTTGGACTTCAACCAACGAAACTACAAAATCACCTCTTGCTCTTCTTGGCAAAACCCACCACAGACAAAGGGTACCAACCAAACTTTCACTGTCCTTCCAACAGCATTTAGGCCTCTATTTATTTTTTAAAAAGGCCGTTGTTATTCGGACTCGAGCCCGAATAACATTTTTTCATATTCGGACTCGAGTCCGAATAAAAAAAATTCTTATTCGGACTCGAGTCCGAATATGAAAACATGTTATTCGGACTCGGGT